CCAACCCCACCCTGGTCAGTCCTCCAGGTTGGCCCAGCAGGGTGTGACACGGGAGCTTCCTGGACCAAGTATTCCCCCATCCTACCCACTGGGTGCACCGAGCAAGTTCTCTCTTGTCCATGGCTCTGCGCTCTCAACCACTGTGCCTACTTTGGTTTTGCTGGCATTATCATGCACTTAACTAAGTACTTTCTGAGAATTTGACAGGCATCTCATTTAATTCTCACAGCAGTCATATGAGTTAAGGTGCTATTTTATGGCATTTAACATGAAAAACCAAGCAGAGAAAGAAAAAAAAAAGGTAGAAGTAGGTAGAAGTAGGAAGTAGTAGAAGTAGGAAGGTAGAAGTGGAATTTTTCCCACAGACCTGATGCCCAGAGCTGTGCTGTCTGGGTTCAAATCCCAGCTGTTTCACTTACTGGCCTTGGGCACGTTACTTAATTATCCAAGAGTCTCAGTTTCTTAAACCAGAAACTGGGGAAGCTAATGTTTATCTCATGGTGCTGTTGTGAAGTTACAAATTAATAAATGTATTTAGAGCAGTTCCAAGCACACATAGTAAGTGCTCAGTAAATATTAGCTGTGATTGTTGTTCAGTCGCTAAGTTGTGTTCAACTCTTTTGCAACCTCATGGACTATAGCCCACCAGGATCCTCTCTCCATGGATTTCCCAGGCAGGGATACTGGAGTGGGTTGCCATTTCCTTCTCCAGGGGATTTTCCCAATGCAGGGATTGAAGCCGCGTCTCCTGCATTGGCAGGCGGATTCTTTACCTCTGAGCCACCAGGGAAGCCTGTTAGCTGTGACAGTTGTAGTTATTATTGTCTCCTGGGCCAGAATTGCTCAACTAGGCCCCAGTGATGAAGATGAGGTAAGCGTCTTATGTGGGTGGAGGTGGGTCTGGGTTTTCCACTTGGGGCTGACCTCTGGCCCTTTGTGGGATTCTCCTGCTGACAGTCTGCTCTGTCCCTCTGAGCCAGGGTCCCTGTCCCCAAAGGGCAGCTGTTTTGCCAGGGGAAGAGCCAGGTTGGGGGCCAGGGGCGCTGGGTTCTAGTCTTTCCTTTGTCACTGTTTCACTGGTGACCTTGGGAAGTCTCCCGCCCTTTCTGGGGACCAGGCCCTGTGCCTGGCTGTGCTGGGCCAAGGCAGACATGCTAAGTGAGGCTCTGGAACCTGGAACTGTGGCAGCCAGTGTCCCAGCTCTATGCTCATGTGCTAGCTGCCCTTAGGAGAGGGTGGGAATGCCCCAGACCCAGGCTGGCAGGCCTCAGCCCCAGCCCTTCCTGATTCTCAAGGACACTGAGCACTCCTGTCTGAGCTCCATGGGCGGTCAAGGACAGTGCTGGAGTCTTTCTCCCTTCGAGGGTCCACCTGCCTGAGCTCTGAGGGCCCCTCTTCACTCCTGGCTGACTGCCCCTCGCCAGATCCAGCTCAGCGATCAGCAGTGCCTTGGTCCCATGCCAGCCGCTCCAGCTGCTGAGGTCCGAGGGGAGCAGTGAGAAGCAAGGTCCCCCCCATGGCTGGCACTTGTTGCCATGGTAGCAGTTGCCTTGACTGCTTCCCTGAGCCGCTTCCCTGACTTCAGCTTCTGAACAGTCCGGGAAAACTGCCCATCCCCCAGGGGATCGGTGAATTAATCACACTCCTTTCCAGGGTCCCCAGCCCTCAAGGAAAATAAACAGAACTAAACCAAGCTGAGGTCTTTTCAGCCACCCTTCCTACCCCATGCCACTCTTGGACTTTGTGCTTCCGGGAGGAAAGAACAGAGGCAGGCCCACTCCAACCCTAGTCTCCCGATGAGAAGAAGAGATTTTCTGACAGAATTCAGTGGTGACCCAAGGCCCAGCCACACTCTGGATCCAGGGGCCTGGAGGACCCAGGCTTCATTGGGGGCGTGGGGGGCTCTGAACTTGGGGGTGGGGAAATGGGTGGTCAGGCTCTAGAGCCTTGGGCTTCCATCTCATTTACCTGTGATAGCATCACCCAAGGGCAAGCATGCATTTGCTTCTTCAGGGCTGGTACGGCTAAAATTGCTACAGGAAAAAACTGGCAAGTCTCCCTGTCTCCATTTGTAATCAATCCTGGAGAAGAGAATGGCAAACCACTTCAGCATTCTTGCCTTGAGAACCCCATGAACAGTGTGAATAAACAGAAGAGGAGATGTCACAAATTTGCAGTGGCCTTTAGTGACACTCCTGTCATGAGGGAACTGTGCAGGACTTGGCCTGATTCTTCTGAACACAATGTCTCCCTCTGACGGTGGGGTTGCCAGTTCCTCCCACCTCAGAGAAGACAGTTTAGAAATATGCTGGCCTCCTTCCCAACTGAGCAGGGAAGCTGGACGCCAGAATCCATTGCGGACTCGGTCTGTCCTTCCACCTCCCCATGTCTCGGTGTCCCCATCTGTTCTGGAAAGGAGCTGGGAGGTTCCGTGATCTTGTAACTGAGGATGGCTCGATGTGTCTCTCCTCCACAGTCTCTGCTCTGCCTCTCTGCCCAGAGGGATTTACAATGTCAAAGAAAATCTCTAATTTAGAACTTGTCTCCAGTTTTTAGAGATCAGAGTGTTCTGGAATCGGAAACTCACAATGAACAGGCACCCCTGACTCCCCTGCCATCCTCATCCCCATTCACCAGATGAGCAAGGTGAGGCCCACAGTGTGAGGTTCCCACCTCAGAATGTGGAAACAGAGTGCTGTCTTGCTGATGGTGTGCACACATCACCCTCAGCCTGACAACAGAAGAAGAGCCGGACAGGCCTCGCCCAGCCAGAGTTATGAAAACATTTAATGGGGGCCAAAGGCATTGGAGGGAGTGCTCGGGTTCCCAAAGCTTGATGTCTCAGGAACACGTTTCCATGGACGATTATTTTGATGGCTCTTTCTAAAACTAGTCAGTGGGGGATCAATTACGTGTGACAGAGACCCGGCTGTCATTTGATGACTAATTAGAAGAGTAATCAGACCTCATCCTGATGAGAGGGACAGGGGATGCTGGCAGCTACAGCTGTGGCTGGAGACGCCCACCCCCAGGGGCTTCCCCGATGAGGGTCAGGAACACAGCTCAGGGGCCCCTTGGTGTTCTGTGGTCAACCCTCCTTTCCCCACACCTTTGAGTTCACACCTGCCCTGCCGAGGTCTCACTCCAGCTTCCTGGCGGGGCCTTCCCTCAGCTGAAGCTCAGTCAGATGACCTTGGTCTTCCCAGGCTTCTATCCCCACCAGGAAAGCCTCCAGTTAAAGACAGAGCTCCCACGGCGCCTGAGATCAATCCGAGATGGTTGGGCAGGCCCGAGCCCTCCCTGGGCAACGTCTTTGCGTCCGGAAGCCCACACCAGGTGCCCTCTAGCCATTCAGTGGTGCTCAGTCCCTGAACCTGCCCTCAAGGGGCCCACAGTCTACAGAGGAGACAGAGAATAGGGGCAGGTGGCCAGCACTTCAGCGTGGTGACATGACCACTCAGCTGCCATCAGGAGTGGCTCCTCAGAGCTGGGGCTGCCCAAGCAGGGTCCCGCAGGATGAGGGGTCCCCAGGCGGCGGGAGCCACGCACACACTCAGCAGAAGGGCCACAGAGGAGAAGGGGGACAGGGGCTGTGGGGGCAGCAGGAGGCCAGAGACCTTGGGTCTGGCTATGTCTGATGCAGACATGGAGGGGAGAGACAGGCGACCCAAAAAGAGGCCACTGGGGCTGGTGATGGGACCCTGGGGACTGTGGTGATTCACAAAGGGTGAGAATGCAACTAGTGCTGAGGGCTGGCTCAGGGTACGGGACAGGGCTGGGCCAGGCTGGGGGCGGGTGGGTTACCACTGCCCGATCTTCACTTGGTGGATCCTGCAAGTAGGTCAGACAAGCTGGACAGAGCTCAGCCTGGAGGTCAGGAGGCGCCAGCCTTGTCCCAATCTTCTGATCCCGGCTGCTGATAACCCCGCCCCTGCCAATCCCTCCTCCCAACCCTGGCCCCTAGCCTGCATGTGTGTCCTCCCACCCTGCCCCCACCACTGCTCCTCCCTTTAGCCCCCCGACCAAGGACCCCAGGATAGCTGGAGGGGCTCCCCTTCTCATCCCACTGCAACTGAAAAGGAGCCTACTTAAGGAGAAGAGACCATCCCCACCTGCCTGGGGCCCAGAGGGGGCCGGGGTGGGGGTAGAGAATGGCCATGGAAGGACCCTCCCCCTCTCCTCCTCCTGGCCCTGTCGCTGTTCCTGTCTGTCTCGTGAGCCTCATCCAGGTCTGCTTCCAGGTTCCCATCTCCAAGTCCCCAAGCAGGGACCTTGGGTTCACCTCCAACCCAAGGGGCAGCAGAGTGGATCCTGAGCATGTGGCCAGGAGTCCTCACATCTCTGGCTGCCGAACACCAGATGAAGCCACCGGCTCATCCGGCCCCTTCCAGGACCCACAGTGGAACCTTGGCTGACTGCCCTCATGGGCCTGTGGGCAGCAACTCACATTGCAACCTCATGAATAACTCAGTACCTCCTGCTGCCTACATCTCTGAGGAAGCTTGGTCCTCTGGACCCCCTCCCCCTTGCAACCATCGCTTTAAACTTTAATAGGCTGAGGCTCAGTGGCAGCTGCGCAGGCTCCAGGGACCTGGGGCAGGATGTCCTGGGCAGGGGAGCTCAGGCTGAACTCTCCCAAGAGGAGGCTGGCGGGGCGAACCCCCAGGGCACAGGCCCAGCTCTCCAGAGCTCTGGCAGCCAAGGCCGGATGTGGTCAGTCAGGAATCCCGAGAGTGGCTTCCAGCTTCAGGGGCCTATAAGGGAGGAAGAGTAAGCTGGGGTGACCTGAGAGAGATCTTCGCTCAAGGTGGGGCCCCTGAGACTGTGGTGGGATAGGGTTGCAGATAAACCCAAAGGTTAGCAGCCCAAAATCTTACTGCCCAGAGACTTTCTTCCTGAAGGTGGAGCTCCAGCAAGGAGACATCCAAGAGGACCGAGACCTCCAGAGCTGTTCCGGGGACAGGCTCCGCTGGTGGAGGCAGTGCCCTGGATAGGCCTGCATGGACATCCCCGTCAGCAGCAGAGACTTCCGCTGTCTGCAGCTGGCCTGTGTGGCCCTCGGCCTGGTGGCTGGCAGCATCATCATTGGCGTCTCCATCTCCAAAGCTGCAGCTGCCGTGGGCGGGATCTTTATTGGCGCTGCTGGTCTGGGTGAGAAGGTGCTGGGCTCAGAGAGGGAGCTGGGGCGGGGGACGGGGTGAGGGGACCACGGCCAGGTGAACAAGCAATGGAGGGAAGAGCTGGGTCACCAGGAATCAGTTGGGGAGGATGGAAGTTGGAGATGTGAGCAAGGCAGCCATCAGGGGTACCGGGAGGGAGAAGGAGGCTGGCGTGAGATTCCCACGGCACACTGCAGGGGTGAGGAGGCGTGGAGCAGGAGCTGGTGACCACTGCTCTTGGGCCACTCCCACTCTGGCTCCCCAGTCCCAAGCCCTGGACTCTTGAGTTAGCGTTAGGACTCATAGGCTTGTTCTGAATGAGTTGGTGGGGGGTGCGTAGAGAAGGGCAGAGTTCTCTGTGGGACCCACCACCCCGCTTGAGCCCCGACAGGATCCAGCTCAGACCAAGGGTTTCCTTCTCTTTCCTGGAATGTTGCCACAGCAGATCTGTCTGTCCAGGCATCTGTCTGTCCAGACCAGGCCCACTGACATCCCCACAGTAGTGCTGGGTACCATCCCTCACCCCTTCCACCACCCTGGGCCCCGGGCAGAACCAGAAGCACCAGGTCAGTGGGCTCTGGCATCTGCACCTGTGAACTCAGGCCAGGGGCCAAGCCCTTGGGAATGACGGAGCAGGACCCCTTCTTCCGCTACCCCCTCCCCAGCTCCCTGAGGAGCCTCCAGTCCTGCCCTTGGGGTCCCCGGGGGAGGGTGGGGAATCAGAGTTGGGGGGTGCCCATGGGCCCATTTCCAGCTTCAGAGGAAGGAAGAACCCAGCCTGCCATCACCTGGGCAGGTGGAGCCAGGAACCTGCGCCTTCACAGCCTGTAACCCCTTCCCCCAAAGGCACTGCTCCCCACCCCCTCCTGGGGCTGGGTGTTGGGGAATGCCCCCCCAACGGACGCACACACTCACAGGCTACATTCACACACCCACAGTCCCAACCCTACCCACGCATGCTCCTCCCATGCCCACCCATAACCCAGCCCCAGGCTCACAGCCCACAGCTTCACACAGGTCACCCTAAACAGGCTCCCTCCTCACCACAGAACCCCTCTGTGTCTCTCCTGTTAGGGCTCCTCATCTTGGCCTACCCCTTCTTGAAGTCTCGGTTCAACCTGGACCACATCCTGCCCACGATAGGTGAGTCCTCTCCCTGTCCCCACCTCTGCCAAGAACTGCGTGAGACCCTCTGTGTGTAAGTCTGCAGCCCACTGCAGTGCAGCCAAGCCCACATGTGTGACTGTACTGGCTGCGTGTGTTAGAGATGCTGTGTATGAGTGTGTGTGTTGTGTAGTCATTGCTGTGATTGCACACAGACTCCAGCCTTCCACTAAGTCCCTGAACTGGCTCAGAGGACCTAGAACCCCCATCTCCCCTGATAAGTTCTCCTCCTTCCCCAAAGCCTCGGAGATCTCCAGATAACCCTACTTCATCCCTGAGCTTCCATAAAGACCCTCTACCTGCCCTGAGACCTCAGGACCCTGGATAGCTCCCCACCTCATCTCAGCTCCCAACATAGGTGCTCCCATCTCCGTCAGTCCTACACATTCATCCCCAGTTCTCCCCAGGACCCCCACCTCCTTAAATATCTGCTGTCTTCTCCTTCAAGGGCCCATTTATTCCACCTTCGTTCCCCTCCCCAAATCTGCGCAGATCATGTGGGAGACGTAAAGGAAAGTAGTGGAGCAAAGACAGCAGCCAGGATGGGGAGTAGACAACAGGAAGGACTTCCCTCCCCAGAGCCGGACTTGATTTGAGAATGGCTCACTAACCACAAGGCTTGGGGTGCTCTCATCCTACAGGGAGCCTGAGAATCCACCCCCAGCCAGGGGCAGACCATGGGGAGGGAAGATCCAGCACCAATGGAAATAAAGAGGGTAAGTTCCAGAAATTCCAGAGTCTATCTTCCATCTTCCCCTCTGGGGACACAGCCCAGAGAAGCCACCATGATGGAAGTGCAAAGGGGGCCTCTCCAAGCACAGGGAGGTGGAAGTGTTGCATAGTTCTTCCACAAGCTTAGTCAAAATGCTTCTTGCTCCCAGGGGAGCTCAGCCCCTCTGGTCCCCAAGGTTTCTCTGTCAGGCCCAGTATAGCACCACACTGCCCCAGCCCAATGCTGTTATTTTCTCACTCTCCTCTCCCATAGTGGAATCCAACTGTCAGAGTTGGTACCCAAAACTGGGCATCTCCCTCCTCCTCCATCCCACCACACTGGAAAATCCCAGGGCAAAAGTATCTCAAAGGTACCCCCACCTCTGGTGTCTGCTGCCCATGGTAGGACGCTGAGCACTAAGCAAAAGGTTCCATCCCAGACACTGTTCCAGGCACTTTCCATATGTTAATTTGTTCCATTCTCAGAACAGCCACATGGGGCAGGTACTATAATTAGCACCACTTTATATATGGGGCAACTGAGGCCCAAATTGCCAACATCCGTTGGATCATTGACAAAGCAAGAAAGTTCCAGAAAAACATCTACTTCTGCTTTATTGACTATGCCAAAGCCTTTGACTGCAGATCACAGGAATACCAGATCACCTTACCTGCCTCCTGAGAAATCTGTATTCAGGTTAAGAAGCAACAGTTAGAACCAGACTTGGAACAGCAGACTGGTTTCAAATTGTGAGAGTACATCAAAGCTGTATATTGTCACCTTGTTTATTTAATTTATATGCAAAGTACCTCATGCAAAATGCCTGACTCATGCAACATGCTTCATCACAAGCTGGAATCAAGATTGCTGGGAGAAATATCAACAACCTCAGATTCACAGATGACACCACCATTATGAAGAACTAAAGAACCTCTTGATGAAAGTGAAAGAGGAGAATGAAAAAGTTGGCTTAAAACTCAACATTCAAAAAAATAAGAGCATGGCATCTGGACCCATCACTTCATGGCAAATAGATGGGGAAACAGTGGAAATAGTGAGAGACTATTTTGGGGGGCTCCCAAATCACTGCAGATGGTGACTGCAGCCATGACATTAAAAGACATTTGCGCCTTGGAAGAAAAGTTTTGACCAACCTAGACAGCATATTAAAAAGCCAGAGACATTACTTTGCTGACAAAGGTCCATATAGTCAAAGCTATGGTTTTTCCCGTAGTCATGTATGGATGTGAGAGTTGAACTATAAAGAAAGCTGAGCCCAAAGAATTGATGCTTTTGAACTGTGGTGGTGGAGAAGACTCTTGAGAGTCCCTAGGACTGCAAAAAGATCAAACCAGTCCATCCTAAAGGAAATCAGTCCTGAATATTCATTGGAAGGACTGATGCTGAAGCTGAAACTCCAATACTTCGGCCACCTGATGCAAAGAACTGACTCATTGGAAAGACCCTGATACTGGGCAAGATTGAAGGCAGGGGGAGAAGGGGACAACAGAGGATGAGATGGTTGGATGGCATCACCTACTTGATGGACATGAGTTTGAGCGAGCTCTGGGAGTTGGTGATGGACAGAGAGGCCTGGCGTGCTGCAGTCCATGGGGTCGCAAAGAGTCGGACACAACTGAGTAACTGAACTGAACTGAACTGCCTGAGGCCCAGGGAGGTTATGAGACTCAACTGGGAAGTGGAGGGGCTAGAAACCAGGCCATTAGCCCCCAGTCCTGCCTCTAACTCCCACATTATGTTGCTGTCCTCTTGAAGGGCCACTCTGACCATCCATGTCTCTTTAAAACAGGCTGCCCCCCAAGAGTCCTTCCCTCCCCATTCTATCCCCTCTGACCCCAGGTCCCTCTGGGAGGCTCTGACCCAGGATCTGTCTACTCAGCCACCCTGTCCTGGTCTCTCCCACAGGAGCCCGTAGCAGCCTGTCCACAGTGAGCAGAACCCTGGAGAAGCTGAAGCCTGGGGGCCGGGGCACTGGGGAGGGCTGAGGCAGGGGCTGAAAGGTTGCCCCCTGCCCTGCGCCCTCTTCCTCCTGCTCCCCCAGTCTCAGAGCCTGCCTGGATCCAAACCTGAGAAGAACCAGCTCCTGGAGACGCCAGACCTGCATCCACCAGAGCCATTGGAAATGGATCCCTGCATTGGGCAGGGCTGGGACCAAGCTGTCTCTAGTCTCAGGCTCTTGACCTGGATCTTCTCTCTGGATGGCAGCTCAGCTTTCTTACCTTTCTGATGTACTGACTGGCTTCTCTGGAATGTGGGGCCCAGTGATGCCCCAGTCCCTTGCTCCAGCCTGGCCAGGGAAGTGAGCTAAAGGCCCTCAGGAACCACAGCAGGGTTCTGAGCCCTCAGCCCCGAAGACCTGGCCCTGGGCCTCAAGAATTCACTGGCTGGATTGAGGGGCTGGACCAGACTCTTCTGAATATCAGAAGCTCTGAACCACTCCTCAGGGACAGGCCCCAAGCAGCAGTGAACCAGACAAGGGGCAGAGCCTGGAAAAATGAAATGGTCACTGCCTTGACAGGAGCCCAGGAGGCAAGGCCTGGAGGCTTTCAGGAGGAGGCGGCTCCTGGCTGACCCCTGTGCTGAGACTCCTGGGGTTTGACTCCACTGTTTAAGGCTTTTCAGGATCTGACTGCAGACAAGACCTCCAGCCTTCCTCTCCTCCCCACCCTCTCACTGCCCCTGAGCAACCTAAACATATCAGAGCTTCCAAGCCCTGGCTTGTGTTCTGGATACCTCCAACTCGTGCCTCTCTGCCTATCAAAACTCCACCTTTGAAGGCCCCCTTCCAAGTGTCCCCCAACCACAATGCCCTCCACGTCCTCTTCCACCAGCTTCTGTCTCCCTCTTTTGACACCCTCCAGGCAGGTTGAAGTCTCCTTTTTCACAAAACAATTACTAATTTTGTTTAAACCTACTGTTTATTGCCCTTTTTCCAGTTAGCATAAGGGTAGACAGTAAGTGCTCAATAAATGTTAAATAGCTTAAATTTGGTGGAGAAGCAAGTCCCTAGGCTTTCCCTGGAGAGCCATTTCAGGCTCCATGTATTCACAGGGTTTGGGGCCAGGCAGACCTGGCCGGTGTGTGACTGTGCAGAAAGCACTGCTCCTCCCTCCCCACTGCTCCTCACATGCCTGCGCCCTCAGGGTGACCTCTGTGCAGACTTCTGCTCCAAGCAGCTCCTGTCCTGTTTGCTAAGCAGAAGACAAGCTATGAGGAGTCTCATTCTCCAAGGATCACTGCAGATGACGCCTCCTCTTAGAAGCCTCCCCTGATTCTCTGTGCTCCACCACAGCCCACAGCACTCTGAGTGGCCTCTGTTTCCCCCTTCATTAAAGTAGGGAGCTGACAGCCAGGCACATGGTAAGTTCCCAGTGGATGTTAGAAACCCACACCAAAAGGAGGAAAGACCATCCAGTTGCACAGATGGGAAAGCTGAGGCTCTGCAGGAAAAGGAATCCAGTCCCATGGTGAGAGATTGTGGAGCCAAGCCTCGAATTCAGACTCCTTCTCCCCATGCATGCTTTGGAAGGAGGTGAGGTTAGGCCTAGCAGGCAGGGATGGTGTGGTGGGCAGTGTGAGGAGAAAGCGCCCCCTTCCCTCTGAGCAGATCCAGAACCCTCCATTCAGCATGCGAGTGAGGGGACAAAGCCAGGTCTTTGGACCCAGGTCTTTCAACAGTCTGTTCAATAAATGAAATTAGTTTTGTCCAGTAGCCTCACTCTGACCTCAGCAGTGGCTGTGCTGGCCAATCTCAGACTGAGTGCAGAGAATATACCAAAGGTGGGGGGTACTGGGTCCAGGCAGCCCCCTGGAAGTCACATCCCCACTGGGTCAACCCAGAGGACTGGAGTCTAGTGATAAGACTCACATCCTGGTTCTGTGCACCCCCTCACCGGGTGAAGGGCAGAGGGGGTGAACCCCAGCCTGAAGCCTGGAGCCACAGTTTCTTCATCCGCATATGGAAGGAGAGTGGTCCCTCCCAGACCACTATCAGGAGGAAGGTTGCCTGGCATGTGATTCGCAACAGGGCAGATTTATGAATGGATAAGTGAATGAATGAAGAGGGGGTTGGAGATGCTCCTCCAGCTGAACTCACCAGATCCTGGAAAATCAGCACCTCAGACTCCCACAGTCCTTTCCAACACAGTCCAGTCTGGAGGCGCTGGTGCCCAGCACTCCCTCCTCCCACTCCCTCCTCCATCCTCTAAGAAACCCTTACAAATCCCACCCGGAGCTGTATAAGGGCCTCAGGACCACACCTCTTTCTAAGGTGCAGGATTGGTGGAGGGTGATTGGAGAAAGGGTGCTGAAAATAAGACTCGTGTCTGGAAAAATCTTCCTCCTCCCACAGTTCCATCCCCCTCCTCCGCCCAGTGTGGGGAATCTCCCGGAGACTGAAGACAGAGGCAGTGCGACCCACACCCCTCACTCCAGAGTGAATGACAAGGTATCCATCCCGGACTCGGACTCCAGAAGTCCAGACAGGAAAGCGTGTGGGCGGCTGGGAGTTCACTGCCAGGCGCTTGAAAAGCGTGAAACCTAGAAACCGGGAAGGGAGAAGGGTGGCGCGGAGCTGTAGCCAGAGAGGAGAGGAGACTTGGGGAGAACGACGATCCGCGCGGGGGGGGGGGGGGGTCGTCAAACGGAGCCGAGGAGCCGCAAAGACGCGCGCTCAGCACCTGCGCAGCCCGCAGCCTGCCACTGGCCCCTCCCAGTCCCTGGGGGCTGCTCCCTGGCGCGCCCCCTTCCCCCGCCCACCGGCTAAGCCCGGGATCTGCAAGCAGTCAACCAGGTGAGTGAAGGGGGTCAGCGGACACTGCCTTACCCAGCCCCATCAAGTGGGCGCCCCGTGGCTGCCCTGCTCTCTAGGGATCCTTCCTCCCTTGAGGGGCCCCAGGCAGAACCAACCAAGAAGTGTCCACTGAACTGGCTCAGGCAACTGCAAGCTACAGGTGTTGGGGCAGGCTGGTGGGAAGGCAAGAAGAGGGCAGGAGAGGGGAGAAGATGAGGAGGGTAGCTTTAGAACTAGAGGGGGTAGTCTATCCAGCCCTAAACCCCGGAGGAACTGAGGAGCACCAAACAAGAGGGCAAGGACCTGTACCTTGAGCACAGTCCTCTGAAAAGAGATGAGAACCACAGAGAGGGGCAAACAGAAGGGAGTCAGACAGCGTGGGGGGGCTGCCTTGGGTCCCTCTGCTCTGCCCTGATCCCTCCTTCTCTTTAACTCAGTAAGAATCTGCCCTAGAATCCACCTCCAGTCCCCACCCAGCTGCCCACCGCATCCTATCAAGAAAGTGAGGGGGAATCAGAGAGAAGTGGGCACAGAGAAACCTCCAAATCAAAAGACAGATAAAAGCAGGTGACAGTGGTCCCTCTGAACTTAACCATTTGTTTCACCAACATTCCCTGGGCACCTGGGGAGACTGGGGGAATGTGGCAGTGAAGAAGGAGGATATAACTCTGATCCTCAAGGTAGAACAGTGGGGGAATGCAGACCTGGACACAGGAGTTCCCCATCACCGAGGCAGAGGAAGGCTTCCTGGAGGAAGTGACGTCCCAGCTGCGCTCTGAACTGGAGTCAGCCAGGTAAAGCAGCAGGAGCAGCATGGTCACCCGACCACACCTGGTGAGTTCAGCTCCACTCCAGCAAAATCAAGAGGGTGGCCTAGAGGGAGCTAGGGCTGGGAAAGCCCAGGAGGGGTTCCCTGGGGAGAGGAGGGGAGGGGAGGAGAGCTTCGTGGGGTAGCAGTGAGACTAGAGAGGAAGAGGTGGGCTCTAGAGACCCCTGGAGGGAAGCGCCTGCAGGGCTGGTGTGGGACAAGAGGGGAGGAGGAGCAAGGATGAAGCCGGGTCTCTGGCTGTCAGTCTGGGCTTTGTGTGAGCAGATGAAGTTTAAGAGGCCTGTTTCCAAGAGGAGGAGAATGTTTCCAGGGAGGAGGGTTCAGCGGGTCCAGAGCTGTGGAGAGGTCATGAACAATCTTCACTGGATTCAACAACGAGGAGGCAGCTGGTGGCCTTGGAGCCAGCAGTCAAGCGTGGTGGCGCAGAAGCCAGATGGGAGTGGATTGACCTTTGAGAAGGAGGTAAAGTGGGGGTGTAGCCAGCACTCTCAAGAAGGGGGAGCGTGGTTAAATGGAGGCAGATGTGGGGAAGATGGGGGCTTTGTTTGGTTTCAAGAGGGAGAGGCTCCAGTGCCTCCAGGAGGAGATGCAGGCGTGGTGAGGGGGTGATGCACTCTGACGAGGAAGGGGGATGTCCCCTGGGAGCCTTGAGGGCTGCCAGAGTCAAACCAAAGGCAGGGATGCGTGAAGGCCCTGCTGCCTAGGAGCCGATTTTCTTTTCACCTACGAAGCTTCACAGTTTGGGCACAAACGTGGAGGAGGCAGAAAGCTGGACCCATACAGAGTTGAGGCATCTCTGGCAGCTTTGACAGAAGGACAAAGGAACAAGTTGCAAGACATGGTAAACTGCAAGAGGGTAAGCTAAGTGAGGCAGTGTGGGTCCTCAGGTGGATGCAGAGAGAAGCAGAGACAAGAGGCTTATGGAGAAGAAGCAGAGTTCCAGGATGGCCTTAGATCAGAGCACAGTTACAGCTGGAGGCTATGCAGTCATGGTGAGGAACACAGGTATAGAAAACACACAGCCTAAGACTTTTTTTTAATATAATTTTATTTATTGCTTTTGGCTGTGCTGGGTCGTCCTTGCTGCACAGGCTTTCTCTAGGTGCAGTGTGCAGGCTTCTCATTGCGACAGCTTCTCCTGTCACAGAGCACAGTGCTTCAGTAGTTTTGGTGCGGGCTCTGGAGCTCAATAGCTGTGGTGCATGGGCTTGGTTGCTCTGTGGCATGTGGGATCTTCCTGGATCAGGGCTCAAACCTGTGTCTCCTGCAGTGGCAAGCAGATTCTTTACCACTGAGCCACCAGGGAAGCCCCACACAGCCTAGGTTTGAGTCCCAGCACTGCCACTTATTATCACCATGTCTGT